CTGAGTTCGAGGCCAGCCTAGTGTACAGAATGAGTTCCAGAACAGGCTCCAAGGCTATGCAGAGAAACTCTCTCAAAAAACAACCAAAAGTCTATAATTTTCTAATCAGAAATTCTGTCTTATTATTTAGTGTGATACAATAATCAGATGCTGCTAAACCATTGTAAAGAGGTGCTCTGGTTTATGCAGGAATTTTTTAAATTGATAACTAATAATTTTATTTTAAACATAATCTTTATCAGGAGTAGTGGACAGGTAAAGGCAGGAGAATCGAGTTCAAGGCTAGCCTCAGCTATATAGACCATGTCTCAAAAACAGACCAAACATCTTGATTTTTAAGCTTTCTTGGAAAGACACTGAGTTAGATAATGATAATAGTGTTGGTTCTAGATGAGGCGTGTCCTCTTTCCAGGCCTTTGGGATCGCTTTTGGCGCTTGTAGTCATTTTTGAAAACGTTCTTGTTTGTCCTCTTTCTCGCATGTGTAAGGATAGCTTGGGACATTGTTCTCTTGAACTTTCACCTTAATTTTGAGACAGGATCTCACTGACATCTGGGACTGGCCCAATAGGCTAGGTTGATGGGCCAGTGAACTTAGGAGTGCTCCTGTTTCTACCTCCCCAACAATGGGATTACTGTCATGCCACCATGCCCAGCTTTTTATTTGGTTGCTGGGGATCAAACTTGTGTCCTACACTTGCGTAACAAGTACTTTATCCTCTCAGCCGCTCAGCTATCCCTAAAAAGTCATTATGAGCTGAGGGTTTAGCATAGTGATAACACTTCCTAGCTTGTGCAGGGTCCTTCCTAAGTTCTGCTCCTAGCACTTGTTTTTTGAGACAGGGTTTCTCTCCATATAACCCTGGCTGGCCTAAAAGTCATAGATACTCCAGCCTTCTAAGTGCTGGTATTACAGACAACTTTTTATTGAACTTGTAGCTACTTGTTTGTGAAACATTCTAATTTGGGAAACTGGAGAAATAGCTCGAAGGATGAGGTGCTTGGCCTCCACATGTACCAGGCTTGCAAATGGTGAACAGACATACCTGAGGCAAAACACCCATATATATACAATATATATATTGTGTGTATATATATATATTGTGTGTATATATATATATTGTATATATATAATAAAGAATTTCTTATTGAAACATTCTAATTGAGATAGGGACTATGTAGCCAAGGCTGGCTGAAAATCTCAGCGATCTACCTTCCTCTGTCTCCCAAGTGCTGGGGTTGAAGGTATACAAATGTCTCTTGACAACTAATAGGCATGTGGGTCATTCAGCTGTGTGACTTTTAGAAGGAGAAGAAGCCAATGTACTAGTAATGAACTAAGTGATAGGCCAGAGCTAAAGTTGACTTATCTGCCTAGATGTAGTAGCAAAATTAAGTGGCACTTCAATGGTTAGTTACCACTGTTGGGCCATTTTCATTGCAGGTGCATCAAGTTGCAGTTTGGAGGAGAAGCAGCACAAGCAGAAGCCTGGGCCTGGTTAGCAGCCAATCAGCTGTCTTCCGTCATCACTACTAAAGAGTCCAGGTATCCTGGTGTTCCTCTAGGCCTGATAGATTCACCTTTTGCAAAGCTATAGCACTCTTTCCTTGAATAGATAGCATTTAGAATTTTTCTTTTCAAGACAGGGTACACTGATCTGTGTATCAGTCCCGGCTGTCCTGAAACTCATTTTGTAATCCAGGCTGGCCTCAAACTCACTGAGATCCACTTGCCTTTGCCTCTTAAGTCCTGGGATTAAAGGCATGCACCCCCACCGCTTGCCTTAATTTGAGGTGTCTTATTGTTGTTTTTAAATATGATCTTACTATGTAGCCCACATTTTTCTCAGATTTTCGGTTCTCCTGCCTCACCTTCCTGAGTGATGGGATTGTTTACACTCATGCAATGTCATACCTGTCTTTATTTATATGGGGTGTGTGTGTGTGTGTGTGTGTTTGTGTATTTTCAAGTTACAGGAAGTTGTAACCATGTAATACTGATGCTGGGAATCAAATGTGGGTTTTCTGGAGAAGCATCTGAGCTAGCCCTCCAGCCTTCCGCTAAGTTTTTATAGAATCTGGAAGTTAGTTTGGAGAGATGACTCAGTGGTTAAGAGTACATGTTACAACCAGACATGGCATACACTTTTAATCCCAGAACTAGGGAGAGAGAGGCAAGCTGTTCTCTGTGAGTTTGAAGTTGGCCTGGTCTACGTAATGAGTTCCATTACAGCCAGAGCTAGGTAGAAACCCTGTCTCAAACTTAATTAATCAATTAATTAATTAATTAAAAGGGGGCTTATTGCTCTTGCAAGACTCAAGTTTGACTCCTAGCACCCACATCAGCCAACTCACAACAGTCATAAGTCTTTTTAAAAATTAAAAATACTGAGTATGGTAGAACTTTGTTTTAATCCCAGCACTTAGGAAGCAGGGATAGGTGGCAGTCTGTGAGTTTGGGGCCAACCTAGTCTACATTAACAAGTTCTATAACAGCCAGAGCTACTTGATAGAGAGACCCTGTTTCAAAATAAAAAATAAAAGCTGGAAGTTTATAATTAGGCTGACAGTTATAATTAAGACTATGATGTATTATCTATGAGATATCTCTCCGTATCCCCTTCCTCAAAAGCAGAGGGACCTTTTAGCTTAGTGTGGAATAGATAGCCTAGGTTCACAGCTACTTTCAAGGCTGGGGCAAGAATATCACTCATAACCACAAAATTAAGGCCAGCCTGGGCAATATAACAAGACTATTTCTCAAAGGGAAAAACAAAACAAAACAAAACAAAAAACCCACAGCCTTGGGACTGAAGAGATCACTTCGTTTTTTAAGAGCACTCACTGTTCTTCCAAGGGACCTGGGTTTAATTTCCAGCACCCACATGGCAGCTCACAACTTCTTGTAACTCTGGTTCCAGGGATCCAACACCCCCTTCTGGGTATTGCATGCATGTGATACACATAAAGGCGAAAAACAAGAATTTTTTTTAAAAAAATGAATCTATTGCTTGGTCAGTTTGGGAGATCAATACTAATAATGTGAACCAATTTCTTTTTTTTTTTCTAAATCCTAGAACAAGGGAATTAAATTGTATGTAGTTCATAAGAGAAAAATAAATCTTAACTCATTTGATTTCTTTTTTAAATGTTTTTGGGGCTGGAGAAATGGCTCAGCAGTTAAGAGCACTGGCTGCTCTTCCAGCGGACCTAGGTTCAGTTCCCAGCACCTACATGTCAGTTCACAACTGTAACTCCAGTTTTTATTACCTCATCTAATTTCTTGTTATCATTTAGCTGTATTACCAACTCATTTGTTAACTGGAGAGATGACTTAGCAGTTAAGAGCACATACTTACTGCTCTTGCAGAGGACCCTAATTTGATTCCCTGGTACCTACATTGTAGAAAAGAGAGTCAACTCTTAAAAGTTGTTCTGTAACTTCCAGATGGATGGTATGGCGTATGAATTCCCTACCCTCCCCTCCCCCCCACACACACACACTAAACTAAGTGTAAACTTACAATTTTTTTTTAATGTGAAACAGCTTCAGTGTGTCTGCTCACACCTATAATCACTGCACTCAGAAGGCAGATAGTAGGCTCTTAAGATCAACCTGGTATATGTAGTAAGATCTCCCATCTCTAATAGTTAATTAATAGAAAAGGAATCTGAACTCCTTTGTCCTTTTTACTTTTTTCAAGTGCTACAGATGAAGCATGGAGGTTATTGTCAACTTACTTGGAAAGATACAGAGTCCAAAATAACTTGTATCATCATTGTGTGATTAACAAGTTGTTGTCTCATGGAGTCCCTCTGCCTAACTGGCTTATAAACAGTTACAAGGTATGTGATATTGAAGTAGGGTGATAATTTGAGAAAATGTTCTGATTCACAACTCAGTTGTGGTGGCAGTACTTGGGAGATGGAGGCAGCCATTGCTACATAATGAGTTCAGGGTCTGCCTAGGCTAAATGAGACACTGACAGAAAGGTGGAAGAGGGGAATAGAGAGAATTCACTGATTTATATTTATATCTCAATCACAACTAACAGGACTAAAATAATTCTACGCAGAGTAATGGGAAATTAAGTAAGCATTCTAGCAATTAAGTACTAGGAATTTAGATTTAAAGTTTCCTGGGTTAATAATTAGATTAATATCTACTTCTGTACTTACTAAACAGTGAGCTTATAATTAGAGTAATGAGTAGCATATTATTAGATATGGTACAGTGTCTACTGTTGTTGCTACAACAGTGTTTTTTAGAATCAGGATTATATATTGGTCTATTGTCTGTTCACATGAAGAAGTACCTGGGCAGGCTAGCTTTATAGAGAAAGATGGGGTTTCTTTGCTCACAGTTTTATAAGCTAAACATGAAGAACACATGGCTCATTGTTGTGGCCATCAGTGAGTACTGTGTTATATCATAGCAGATTGCACTGTGATGGGAATGCATGGGAGAATAATATGGTCATGTCATCAGACAGGAAGCCAGAGAACCATTCAGCTTTGAGAACTAGTTTAATCTCTTCAGAGAGGACAGTGCCCTCCTCCATGTAAACATCCTCCACTTGGTCCTACTTCTCAAAGGTTCCTTTCTCTCCAGTGCTATCACATTGGGGGGCTAGACCTCCAACATAGGAATCCACATCTGAACTATACAAAAATCATCTATAGCAAAATGGCTTGAATGGTATCTTCTTTAAAATGTAGATTCCTGGGTCTCATGTAAGATTACCTGGGGCAAGATAACAGAACTCCACATTTTGACAAGCTTATGTATGTATGTATGTATGTATGTATGTATGTATGTATGTATGTATGTATGTATGTATTTGAGGCAGGGTTCTGCTGTAGTTCTGGCTGGCCTAGAATTTACTGTAAACTGGGCTGGTCTTGAATTTACTATGTAAACCAGACTAGGTTCAAATTCCACTAGCCTCCCCCTCCAACTATTAAAGTGTGCAGCACCAAATCAAGTTTTTGTTGTTGTTGTTTTAGTGTATAAGTTTCATGAGTTCATGTGCTGTTCTTGTATAGGAGCCATGCCAATCTTCTCTTTATCATTCCAATTTTAGCATTTATGCTGCTGAGGCAAGCATTTCTGATCTGCTTAGGATGTACACTTGAGTGTGAAGATAATAATCTGAAGCACTTTTATAGAGGTTTTTTGTTTGTCAAAAGAACAACCAAATTATAGTGTTAGGCATTTGTAATTACAGAACTTGGAGAAGACTGGGTTCAACGCCAGCCTGGGTTACATAGCAAGACCCTGTCTCAAAAAAATCGAAACAGTTTACCTAGCATACAAGAAGTGCTGAACTTAATCCGTAGCACTGCATAAACTGGATGTGGTGGTATACATACGGGGTCAGAAGTTCAAGATCATGAAACCCTGCCTAAAAAAAAAAGAGAGAGAGAGGAAAGTAGAGAAAATTAGCTAAAAGAAGAGTAAAATTGAGATTATATCAGAACAAAGAAAGTATCTTCATTATAATAAAGTATCCATTGACTGAGTAAAGCATCCTTACTGTAATAAAGTATCCATTGAGTAAAACATGGTTACAGTAATAGAATTCAGCATCCTCACTGTAATAGAGTATCCATTGAGTGCACATAATCCCTGTAATAGAGTACAGTATCTTCACTATAATGGAATACAGAAGATCTTGCTGGTGGTGCCCACCTTTAATCCCAGTACTCAGGAGGCAGAGGCAGGTGGATCTCTGAGTTCAAGACCAGCCTGGTCTACAGAGGGAGTTCCAGGACAGCCAGGGCTATACAGAGAAACCTTGACTTGGGTGATAGTGGGGAAGTGGTACAATATCCTCATGTAATAAAGCATACTTACTGTTCATAAGTGAGGCTGTTTATCTTTCTATCACTTGATTTACATAAAACACAAATTTAAAACTGGTGGTACTTTTGCATTTCATCATTTCTAAGAATTGGTGTATATATCCTGTCACTTTAGTGCTCAGCATTTCTGGGAAGACATGTTGACATTACTAATGTAAAATTGAAATAGGGACAAGTTAAAACGTGTCTTGGATCACAAAACAGAAGAGAAAAGCCATTCAACAGATGGAGCTTTACTGTATGCCTGGAGGTAACTGGGCTCTTGGGGAGTTTACAAATCTAAAGAACAGATTAAACCCAGGCGCTCATAAGTAACCTTTTTTTAATTGTGTGTTGTTTGTTTTGAGGCAGGACTATATAGCCCTGCTTACCTAGATGTTTCTTATAAGTTAAAATACAACTATATTGAAAATATTAAATGGAAAACCTGTTATTTGTTGATGCACAGAAACAATGTATGTTTCCGTGGTACATTTAGGGGTGTGAGCATTTGGTTTCTTGCATATTTTCTAAAACATTCTAGAACGCAGCACTATTCTATTTCAACTGGGAGTAGACATGCTTATAATTGTTGCTTTTTACAGAAAGTTGATGCTGCTGAGTTGCTTCGTCTGTACCTGAACTATGACCTTTTAGAAGAAGCTGTAGATTTGGTCTCCGAATATGTGGATGCTGTATTAGGGAAAGGACATCAGTACTTTGGAATTGAGGTAGATGCATATGAATGTTTCCTTTTGATTGTGTATTACCGCGCTAAGTAATAGGTAAGGGAGTATTTAAAATAAATTGATATAAAGTATATAGTTATATAGTGAAATATTGATACTCTAGGGATCTCTAGTTTCTTTTCTTCTTTTTTAAGGTTTATTTTTAGCCAGGTGTGGTTGCTCACTCCTTTAATCCCAGCTTTTGGGAGGCAGAGTCAGGCAGATCTCTGTGAGTTCGAGACCAACCTGATCTACAGATTTCCAGGACAATCAGAGAAACCTTAAAAATAAAAAGGAGGGAAGGAAGAGAAAAAGGATTTATTTTTAATCATGTGTATGCACCACCTGCCTGTGAGTGTCTGAGAAGGCCAGAGGCTTCTCTGAAGCTAGAGTCACAGGCCTAGATAAGAATTCTGGGAATCAAATTCAGATCCTCTGAACATATAATGCACTCTTTTTTTTTGGCATTTTTGAGATATGATCTCTGTATTATGTAGCTCTGGTTGTCCTGGAACTCTTTGAGATCAGATGAGTGATAGTGCAAAGTATTAATATATTAGCTTAACTGAAAGAAAAGGGAGAGATCCATGTATGTGTGTTATGTACATGTAATTCCTTTTTCTTATTACACTTATTGTGTGTGCACACACACGTATGCCACACTGCACATGGTGGTCAGAGAACAACTTGGGGGATTCATGTCTTTCTTTCCACTATGTGATCCAAGAATTGAAATCAGTAACTTAGGCTTGGTGGCAAGTGCCTTTACCATCTTATGAGCCCCATACAATTTCTTAATAGTGGGGCAGGTGGGTTAAAATGTTTCATGTATAGAATCCTGCAAAAGCAACTACTTAGAAGAAATGATGTTATGTTAATAATAGACATTTTCTTTCAGTTCCCACTGTCTGCAACAGCCCCAATGGTATGGCTCCCATACTCCTCTATTGATCAGCTTCTCCAGGCTCTTGGAGAAAACAGTGCCAACAGTCACAACATTGTAGTAAGTAAATCTCTGAGTTATCTTCACCAAAGTTCTAATGGCAGGCATATCCTAAGGCATGATTATCGATTCTCTAGAAAAGAGGGGACAAAAGCCACTTATTGCCCATAATATATTGTACCTCACTCCCTTTCTAAATAAAAAAATCTAAACAACCATTTCAGAAGTTTTAAGAAGGAATTATCTAGGCTTCAGTTACATAGAGATAATGACCTACAGTTCTTTCTTAAAAGGTGCTTAGCAGGGCAGTTCTACAGGATGAATAGTGCTTGAATGCAGTGCTATCACTGTATTCAATTTAACTTTCAGTATCCTGCGTGATATCTGTAAATGACAATGTGTTCTGGAACCCATACTTGCTACAACTTACCCTAAAAGGTAAATAAATACATAAAATAGTAGTATTTGCTTTCTTGATCTTATAAAAATGACTTTTTTGTTTGCTAAAGTGTCTTCCCAACCCTATCAATCAGAACTCACAAGATACGGTTGCAAACAACGTGATAACAGTAGCACACACCTATAGACCTAGCTACTTGATCTTAGGAGTTTAGGGTCATCCCAGGTACATAGAAAATTGGCATCTTAACAAAACTGAGTGAAAGGCTATAGGAGTATGAGTTCCTTGCTTTTTTGTTGCACTCCCCTTTTGTTTTTGAATGTGTTAGGTGTATGCTCCAGCTGCTCCCAAACTCGTGATTTTCTAGCCTCAGCTTCCCAACTACTATGTAGGCATGTGCCACCATACCAAGACCTGACCTAGTTTCTTGGGGTTGGGGGGGGGTTTGTTTGTTTATTTATTTGTTTGTTTTGTTTTGTTTGGGGGAGTTGTTTGGTTTTTTCCAAACAGGATTTCTGTGTGTAACAACAGCACTGGCAGTTCTGGAACTTGCTCTGGCTAGGCTGGCATCAAACTCAACAGAGATCTACCTATCTTTGCCTCCCAAGGGCTGGGATTAAAGGTGTGTGCCACCGTTAACAGGCCTAAATTGTTTTTATGGTGTTAATTAAGCAGGAAGAAGATAAGGTAGCCCTGAAAGTTAGTTACTATCAGTTGGATCTATCAATTTAAAATAATTCAGTAAATGTTTGTCCTGTATTTTACTAAGGAGCTAATGAACCAGTTAAATCAGATGTAATGGGGGCTAGAGAGATGGCTCAGCAGTTAAGAGCACTGGCTGCTTTTCCAGAGGTCCTGAGTTATATTCCCAGCAACCACATGGTGGCTCACAGCCATCTGTAATGAGGTTTGCAGCCAGAACGCTGTATGCATAGTAAATAAATAAATAAATCTTTTAAAAAGTCAGGTGTGAGGTCTCATTCCAGGAAAAGACCTAGTAATTCTTTTAATAAAAACAGTCCCAGCACTTGGGAGGCAGAGACAGGTGGATCTCCGAGGACAACCTTGTCGACAGAATGAGTTCTGGGACAGCCAGATCTTTGTGAGATCCTGACTCAAAAAAGGGAGAAAAATAAAGTAAAATACACTGATGTGGCCTATTGTGGTAGAACACAATGGTAGGATATGGTGAAGCAGAGGCAGAGGATCACAGTTTGAGGTCACATCTTCATAAGAAGGCATTGTGGTGTACAACTTTCATCCCAGGGGGTATGTGTGAGCATTAGGACTAGCTTGGTCTACATAGTGAGATCTAGGCCAGCCAGGCCTGTGTACTGAGACCTTGTCTCAAAACAGAACAACAAAAAAACTGGTGAGCTAGCACTTGGGAGGAAAAAGCAGGATACGCAATACCTTGTCTCATAAATGAATGAATACATACATATACAGACACATGGAAACCGCATACAAACATATATAGTGGTGTAACTAAATTGGAGATGTTGCCCAGTAGTAGAGCTATTGCCTCGTGTGCATAAGGGTTTGAGTTGTACAAACACAAAAATGTGATTCATTACAAAAATAGGAATGTTAGTTACATCTAACAGGGAAAGACCAATTCTGACTGTAGCATCACAGAACAAACTTCTGCGCTGAGTGGAAGTAAAGCACCTAACGTCTCTAATAGGTATACTCTAGTCTTCACTCTTCAGGCTATTCTGTATAATGACTTCCTTCCTTTCCCTTACAGCTGTCCCAGAAAATTCTTGACAAACTAGAAGACTACCAGCAAAAAGTTGACAAGGCAACACGGGATTTATTATACCGTCGGGACTTGTGATCTGGATAGCTCTACTCAGCCTTTGTAACCGATTGGTGCCTCTTAGGGCTTAGGACTACTCCACAGAACCCTGTGCTCAAGGCCAGTTTTTATAACTATGAATCATTTGTATGGCACTTTGAATCTGAATTCTGCACAGGATAAGAGAACTGGAGAGTCAGGACCAACCCCACGGTTGCTGGTGGTGCTATCACGGTTTCTGGTTTTCAACCTTCCTCTCCCACAGCTGCTTTTGTATATGATTCTCAAGCTTTTTCAGAGTTTATATTTTTTTAAGCTACTGAAGACATCCTTTATCTGCAAATGAAAACTGACCTTCACTTTCCATTATACATGATGGTTGTTGGCTTGTT